TTTCAACTAGATGGCTGCAGTCCATGATGACCACAATCTCTTTGAAAACTAATTCAAATACAGCTTCTTCCCATCTGCAGTTAACCTCCTCAACAAGGCCCAGGTCACTTTCTCTGTGCAAATGATACAAATATCTCAGCACATAAAAATGTGATTTAAACACTATTTATACTATATAAATATTTGGTACTTTGGCTTTCTCCCACTTGCTGCTACTTTAGACAAGTAAACAAAATAAAAAGTTAAACACCTATTTAGTCATTTCTTTTAAGTCACGTGTTGCTGACAGTTTTTAGGCGCATCTATGAATAAAATGGCTCATGGCTACAATGCAATAGGTTAAAGAATAACCTCCGACCATTCAGAGTTACTATTTTGAACACTCAAAATCATGTAGAACGTTTCTACTGTGGGTCTGAATTCCTTTCTAGATTTCTTTAATGATCCAATTGTTGCTGAGTGCATTCAGTGGTCTAAAGAGGGGGTTTTAAACTGTGCACATACTGTATATGAGCTTCTACCAATAAATATTGTTTTAATAGTCAACATTAAAGAGAATTGTGTTTGTGGTTGTTTGATGACTTTTAATAATTTGTTGAAAAAGTTTGATTACCCACATATTCCGTTTTCATATAGCTTATAATGAGTTGGCTCAGGTTATTTCGGGGGTATCTCTAGTTATGTTGCTATAGGCTTAGACTGCTGAAGAATAAAGGGACCCCTTTTCATCAATGTGCTACATTCTATCTCTATTCTCCCACTCTGCAGATATTGTTAGTTCAATCTCTAACGTTATCTGTTTTTTCTCATAGTAGCTTTGCCTCGTTTGTTCCTCTTTGGCTGTGACACCATCCTGGAGAGAAATATCAGCTGTGCTGCTGCCATCAACACCTTTGTTTATAGATGTTGGAGCTTGGCCTGTCTCTCAGTGTGGTCCAGTTTCTCTGACTGTGACTGGCTGGATATGCTCTCTTCATCCTCTGACATGAGAGCTGCCTGGCTGTGTGTTTCCTGGATGGGGTCGCAGTGCAGCTGGTTGACAGTTGAATTTTTTTCTATGTCTGATTCTTTTCTCCTTAAACCCCAGTCGGCCTCGGCAGATGGCCGCTCACACTGAGCCTGGTGCTGCTGGAGGTTTCCTCCTATTAAAAGAGAGTTTTCCTCTCCACTGTCGCTACAAGCATGCTTGGTGTGAGGGATTGCCTTCGAATCAATGAGTCAATGCAATCAGCTAAGTTCCCTTAGATAGAAAACATTGAATAAATTTTACTGTATGATCTGGTTGGATTGTCTCTGTAAAGCGCCTTGAGCTGACATGTGTTACGAATTTGAACTATATAAATAAATTGAATTAAATATTGTTGTGGCTACCGAACAAAAAAGATGCAGATTCAATGATTTTTAGTACGAGAGTGTATCCTTTAGTTCTCGCAAACTAGCAACCTTTTTTCTATTAAACATCCAAGGACCAAAGAAAACACCACAAACCCCTGCAGCCACACCTAATTAACCAAATATGCATACTTTTGGACTGTGGCTGGAAGCCTAAGTACTTTTAAGAGAGCACTCACATGCTAGTGGGTAATATACAAACTCCAATCAGAAAACCTCAGCTGAGAATTCAACTGTTAACTCTTCCTCTGAGGCAACTCTGCTAACCACTGGAGCCAAAGTACAGGCCCAGTTTAGACACATGTGGTTTTACACAAACTGTACTCTTGATTAATAAATTATGAAGGGCTTATTTTAAAGTTTCTTTAAAAATTGAATGCTCGGACAACCACCTCATGATTGTTCTGTTAAGGGCGACTTGAAATGAGGTGTGCCCTGAACAACACATGAGGCTTCTTAAACATTTGGGCATATTACAAAAAAAGAAATGTGCCTCAATATTCCTTTCAAACTTGTTTTTTCTTTCTAGCTTATGGTTTCTATAAGTGTTTATGGCACAGTGCCACATTTCTGAGCATTTTCTGCTGACATTAAAGGAGTGCTCGTTTTTTATGAAGCTATAGCTTCTAATGTAAAACAGCATGATGCAGGAATTATACCTCCCCATTTCCAAAGCACAATCTACACAAAAGAGCCTGTTTCTAAAAAAAATATTGATGTTATGCTTAAAAAAGCTTAAAAAAATATGTCAGCAGCAAACAGATAGAAGGGCAACCCCCTCTATGTGATGTAATAAAACAGCAGGAGATGACTTTTCATCTCTTTTCGGAAAAACGTTTAAAAAAATCAGTGTTTAATTTAAAATGTCTAATCTTTCTTCCAATAATCTATTCCCTCGATAAAGTCCACTGGGGAAAATAATAGGAAACTCTACATTGAGTGATCTTGTTTTAAATGAAACATTACTTCGTTATGTAGAATACATACACATTATTGCCAAAAGAATTTGATCACACATCAATATTATTAGAATCAGGTGTTCCAGTCATTTTCCATTGCCACAGGTGTATAAAATCAAGCTCTAGTAATGTGGACTATTTTTACAAACATTTATGAAAGAAATGGCCACTCTCAGTAACTCCAGTGAATTCCAGAGAGGACTGGTGATGAGATGACATGTACAACAAATCCAGTCATTAAAATGTTGTCACTCATGGATATTCCACCTTAAGCTGTCAGCTCTAGCATAAAAAATGGAAATGTTTGGGAACAACAGCAGCTCAGACATGCAGTGGTAGGCCATGTAAGCTGGCAGAGCGGGGTCAGCGGATGCTGAAGTGAATAGCGCGAAGAGGATCGCCAACAGAGTCAATCACTTCACACCTTCAAACTGCCTCTACTGTAGCTCATGAACAGCGCGCTTCATGGAATGGGTTTCTATTGTCAAACAGCTGCATCCAAGCTGCTCGAATGACAAATCATGCTTCTCCATCTTGAAACATGATGCATGAGCCTGGGTTTAGCGGTTGAAGGAGAATGGTACTAGTCTGACGGCATTGTGCCAAATGTAAAGTTTAATGGAGGAGGGATAATAGTGTGGAGCTGAGCTTGGCCTCAAAGTTCCAGTGAAAGAAACTGAAGGCAGCAGCATACCAAGACATTTTGGACAATTCCATGCTTTTTAACTTTATGGTAATTGGGTTAAGATCTTCCTCCTCTTCCAACATGGCTTCTCTTCAAACAAGGTCCATTAAGACATAGACCCTGGTGTGGATTATCCTGAACCCAACCTGAACATCTTTAGAGCATAGACTGAAAGCCTGCCTATCTTGTCCAACATTGGTGTTTGACTTCACAGATGCACTTCTGGAAGAATAATCAGAAATTCCCATAAACACACCTAAAACTCGTGGACAGCCATCAAAGAAGAGTTGAAGCTGTTCTCACTGCAAAGGGAGGAGCAATGTCATATCGAACCCCTATGGATTAGGAATGGGACGTCACTAAAGATTATATGTGAGTCAAGGGAGGTGAGCGAATACTTCTGGCAATATAGTGGATATTGACACATAAAGTGGACAACTTTGAAGGCATTAAGAGCCCAAAGGATATCAACTGTGGAGTTGCAGCTGCACAGATGTCAGAACAGAGGAAGCTCAATCCGGGAATCATGACCCTCATCTCATGATTTTATCATAAGATGAGGAATTTAGATGGAGGAAAAATGCCTCTATCTGAAAACAATCTGATTACTGTATAAAGCCATGTATTGACATGTATCGTTGCCTGGGACTTTTAAATTGTTCTTCAGTTTGGATGGTAGAGCCCCAGAATTCAAGAATTGACTCCACAGCTTGCCTATCAACTCAGGCTTACTCCATGAAAGTGCCTTGCTTCTCCATAATCTGGGTGACGTTTGACTGCTTCTATGGTCTTGACACCTCGTAAATACTGAATGCTGGATCTTTTCCATGAGTGCATGTTGCCCTTCAAGACCTTGCATAGCCCCTAGGATCATAGAAATTATCAACCTTGTTCCTTAAAAGTTAAAACACAATCCACTGGACTTTGTTTTCAAGTTTGAAGATGTTTGGCTTCCCATCCAAGAGGCTTTTTCAGTTAAAAATGTGGGAATTAGCGTTGAGTTTTCTAAGCCAAAACAAAGCCTTGTTTTGGCTTAGAAAACATGCAAATGAAACCAGATAAACATGTCTACCCCTTAGGAAAGGGCAGTAATTTGGGTTCTTTGTTAGCCTGCAATACCCGATACTGGTCTATGCCTCTGAAGGGGGGTCGCTAGGGGGAATTGTTGGCCTGGCTGAACAGGCAAGCTGTTCTGGTCCTCTGTATGGGGTCGGGGGTTGCAATTTTAGCGGGAGGAAATCCTCTCTATCGCTGCATTGTAGGTTTTTGTAAGCTGAAACCTGAAACTGGGTTTAAGTTTGTTTTTTCTTTCTTAATATAGATGGCTTCCTTCACACCCCTCTTAAACCAGCTGTCTTCTTTGTCCAAAATGTGAACATTCTGGTCCTCAAAAGAATGTCCTTCATCCATGAGGTGCAGATGGACCGCCAAGTGTTGTCCGGAGCAGGTAGCTCTTATGTATTGAATGAGAATATTCACCAGGATAATCAACCTCCTTTTTAAGTTGATAATTCTGCAGAGGGGAAAACTGAGCAATCATACAAACATCACAAATATTGTCAACAACTGTGATTGGATTTGCATAGATAACAGTAAGGATATAAGTATTTGATTACATTAGATGTTTTCTGAAATCTCAGACACGGTTGGGCCCCACAGTAGAGGCAGTCCATTTCCTCAAGGTGGATGTTTTTTCCATGTTGTGCAACCGTGGTGGCAAATAGGGGTGAATATTATCATGTACCTGCTATAAAACAGGTTCAGTGCCAGCCTCCACTCACCGTCCCCGGTCTCTGTTTATCCCCAACTTGTTTTTCTACATTTCTCCAGGACTTTCCCTCAACGAAAGCCCTGTGCTGTCCTGTTATATGTTGGGTGTGGGAGTTAGAGACAGTGAGCTAATACTACGGTCTGATTAAATGTTGGAAAAGAGGGCTGATAGTATGAGAGGGGGAGGAGGGCGAGAATCCAGTAGAGGGGAGGGCGTCTCTAGGTAAAAAGTGAAAGGGTGGAGGGATGTGATGAGTATAAAAGCTTTGCTGTAGGGAATTAGGAAATATTTCACAGGAGTAAATACTGCAAGATATTTCCAAAGCGTCTTCTATCATCCAGATCACACAGTAAGTACTTTAGAGCATCTTGTTCACTGCTAAATTCTTGCTAAATAAGTTTGATCTGGTTTAAATGTTAGTAAGACCAAAAAAATAAAATAAAAGTACCAATCTTTAAAAAAAATATCTCATACTGTAAGTCATCTTGCACAGTTAGGCTGATTTGTGGAATAAGTTGAAATTGCATCAGGATGTGCATAACATAACACCAGTTCAGTGTGTTTTTCCAAAACGATGAGCAGATTATGAATATAGGAAAAGGTCTGGAAACCTGTTTTTAAAACCAGACTAACATAAAACTTTTTCAGTCACATTCATGTGAGTCTGGATGTTCCTATCCGGTTATTGGAAGATCTCTTTTAGCTGCAGGCCTGCCGTTCTGTACCCACCTTGCATCTGATTTTGAACTGTATAATGCCTCAGACACTGTGTGTGCAGTCTGTCTGCAGACCTATGTGTTTGAAGCATGACTTTATGTATAATGAAAGCTGCTATTGATGGGGAGAGAGCTCTGGCTGCTGAGACAGAATTCCTTCCAAATCACACAAGCAGAGGAACCTTGTCAGCAGTGCAGACGTGCAAGTGTGGCACATCTGTGCCTTACTGCACATGCATGGGTTCAGACATCTGGTGTCAGTACTTTTACAGATGTCATATGCTGTAACTTGAGTACCTGTGATTGTCTATTGCAAGTAGACATGTGTTATGGGGATGTTCGTATGTGCAGAAATCTGAAGAACAGTTTATGGTTACACTCTGTTCAGCAAAATGAGTTTGGACTCAATGAGCTGGCAGCAGTACAGCCCTCCTCAGCCACAGGAATGCTCTGATGGTTTTTTCCTTACAACTGGAGTTTTTACACAGTTCTTGGTTCAGTCTTGGGTCTAGTTCAATCGTTTTCACTTTTTCCTTTGGCCAAATATACTGTTTCTTGTGTGGCTTTTGTAAACATTCCACACCAATATGTCTCATAAAGTATGCCATAAACTGTGGAACTTATGTACCATTAGTGGTACATGAGTACCTTTAGTGGCTCTAGTACAATCTAACCATAATGAAGTTGATCATGGTTATACCAAATGCTGGTGGCGACTCATTTTAATCTTCAAATTTCCTTTAAAATTGAAACTTGTATATAGGAATGAGACGAAACTCCAACATTTCTAGGATCAAATAAAAAAATCCGGTGGATCTAGTGGTTAAACATGTTTCCATCAAAAATATTTTACGAGATCTTGAAGTATTGCGTAAAAATAGCTTGATATTAAACAGCAATAGGCGTAATCAACTTTGCAAAAAAGTTTTTTTTTTAATAAAAAAAAAAAAAAAAAAAAGCAAAAATGCTATAAAGAGGAAACAAACAATTTTTTGGAATAAGTTCTGAATATGTTTCTAACATGACTGATCAGCTGATTCTACTACTGCTGCCGCCTTAAATTCAGCATTAGCATTACTCCTCTGTCAATTTCTCTGGATGGCATAAACCATCGCTAATACTTACTGACATTAATAAGGAAAACCTGCACAATTACAACAAATTTATCAGAAGAATATTCTTTTCTACAGCCAAGCATAACGTCAATGTCTGAAAACGTTAAATGGACGGTAAGATCTAATTAGCATTTGCCTTTTTTTTCAACCTTTTAAAAATTTGCTAAAAATTCACATTTTGCTGGAAACATGGCAAATATCCTCAGTTACCAGTATAGCTATTATCAATGTGTCAAACCAACTGTGTAACTTCATTAGATGTACTTTTGAGTAGTTAACATGTTTACTAAGCAAGTCAATCATGTGTAAAGGGTTTAATAAGTTGTAAATCATTGCAGATAGTAATCATTTGTTAAAAGAATTTAATATTCAATCACCTATATTGGATACTGAGGTTATGTCTGGTGTAAAACCCCTAAAATTTCTATACTGTGAATTAGTTGCATTTCCATCTCTTTTTTGTGCATTTCGAAGTATTGTATCAAAAAACCTTAATGGAAATTGCAAATAAAAAAACAAACAAAACAAAAACAAAATTCCCTCAAATTTGCAAAAAAGTTTTTATGCTCCCTTGAGGCGGTTTTTGGTATCTGCGGAAAAGGCTTAATGCGCAAAACAGGAGATAGAAAAACTTTTTGAATCAGCTCTAACTTAGTGAACTTTTACCCACATGACTGATCAGCTGTCTCCCCAGACGGTCCTATTATACATGTAAACATGGCTGAAAGCAGCATTGCCTTTACTAGCTTACATTTTAGGAACAGCTCGCCCAATTCAACACATTCATTAAAACTCTCCTCCATTGTTGACCTTTTGATGCCAGATTGCAGCCTGTATTTCTTGGTTATTACAGCCATACAATGTAATGTGGATGTTTGATGACATTTAACTTTTCATAACTTGTTTTATTTACCTCAAAATCAAATGGAAACACTCAAAGTTTGTATTACCTTCTTTTTGAACCGTGTTTTTAAGTTTGCTTAAAATTCGCATTTCAATTGGACGGAAACACGGTTTGTCCAATTTTAACCCTTCGATTTATGAGTAAAAGTGGAGGTTGCAACTCATTACTGATCTGAAAAGCTACAAATAGCACATAAAATAAAGATCTGACTTTAAGTCAAAACAATGAAATCAGAAACAAGGTGCCTGCAAGACAGTTTAGCAACAACAAGTGTAGAAATGTTAAGGAAGTAAGAATACAATCATTAAATATCCACTAGGAAAAGCTGAGTCTTGCTGAGCAGCAATAGTCTCATTGGTGTTTACATGTGGATTGTAATAACATCTGAACATCTTCAGGTTGGTACAGTAGCACATGTACATAATTCCCAAATGAATGTAGGGTTCCACCTCAACCAATAAGTGGAAAAATCGTTTGAATGGATGCAAGCATTTGTTTTTTTTTTACATTTATTATTTTTTATTTTCTTTGCCTAACAACCGCTAGAGTCTCCCACTGCGACCAGACAAGGATTAATGATTATAGACAATTAACTGAACAATTGTAACAATTTTACAGCTATTAGTACTTTGAAATGTATGTAAGATTTTCAAAATTGTTGGGGTTTTTTTATTCGAAGGCTTTAGAAATACTTTTATATTTTTGCTTTGAAGTTTCAGGTACAGATAAGAAGTTGCTCTTTTCCAACAATCTGTCCTAATAAGATTAAAAAGATGTTTTCATTTCTCTTCTCTGACTCAGCCTTTCTCTTGTGTCAGAAGCGACGAAGGTCCAACGTCCCCAAGATGAGCAGCATCCTTCAGTTCGTGGCCCTCTGTGCTGTGGTCTCCCTCTGTGTCTGCTACGGTACACAATGTCCCCAGCATCTTTGCTGAGCAGCCACTCAGCATTTTACTTCAGTTTTTGTTCAGCGCTCATAATTAACCAACTCCATGTTTTTCCCTTAGATTCTCATGAAAGCAATGAATCGTTTGAAGGTGATTAAACATTAAATAAAAAAATCTCAGTGCCTGGAAAAACATGCATGCATTTCTAACCCACAAATTAAACAAGTATTTAAAACACATTTCACCTTTAACTAATTTTCTCTCATGGACAGAGGTGGTGCTAGCATAAATGTTGCACTGGACTACCTTCTGCTGCTACCAACTAATCTAAATTAAAAACAAATCAGCTGAATTCGTAATGCATTGCAATCTAAAAAAAAAAAAAAGCATGTCTAAGCAGCAAGCAGGGGGTCCCAACCCTACATTGACTGCACAAAAACAAAACTTATTCAGCTGATTTATACGGCATTATTTTATAATTGATGCTTGTGCTCTCTTCTTTCTTATGCCGCCCTGGGCAGCTTCCCAAATGTACCATATATAAAACCACCACTGTCTTAAAACACCGTCCAGCTACCTGGTCTTACATGATGCCAGCAGGACTGCAGTTTAATAAACTTTTGTATTTCCAGATTTATTTGTGCCTCCGAATCGAGCCAACTCCTTCCTCCCAGGCAACAGGCTGCCTCCATCCCAAGGGAACCGCCCCAATCATCATTTTAACTTCAGGTAAAACCACAGGCATGCAAACACACCTTATAACTCACTTTATCTCAGACAGACTAGACTTTTCAACCCTGTGATGAGAGGAGAAACGAATAAACAATTTAATATGTCCTTTCAACATCCTTCAGGAAAAGAAAGTCTCCATCAGAGATCCGTGCAGAGACCTGTGAGGACTACTCACCCTGCCGCTTCTACGCCTATCGCTTTGGCTTCCAGCAGGCCTACCAGCGATACTTCGGGGCCCGAAATCCACGGCAGCAGGTCCACAGACCGGCTGTGACTCGTCGGTTTTAAACTGGAGTGTTTGAACGACACCTCCTTAACGCCTGTTCCTTCATTTCACTTCTCTTACAGTGTAGTTTAATTTATGCCATTGTGTCTTTTTTCAGTTTTGACAGTAGAGAGAGAGACCTGAAAAATATGAGACTCCAGTTCGGCTTAAATTCTATTATAATCCGTATAGATAATTTCCTCTCATTTAACATATAATCTCAGTGTTAACTGCTATACTCACGTCGTTTATGACCTGGACAACATATGCCAGAATGTTATAAAAGCTTTTATCTATGCAGGCCAGATCTGCTGTTGGTGAGGACTTTGTTTCTTTGAAAGAAGTAAAAATAAAGCTTGTTTTATACACATTTATTTAAAGGAGTTATTTTGTACTTTATTATCTAATCAAATCAAAATATGTGTTGTTCTGTTTATCAAGAAAGAGGCTTTCTCATAAATTTGCACATAACGTTTCAGATTTTTTTTACATTTTAGAATAAAAATGTATGTGTCTGAGTAGTAACAAATACACTTGTAATCATTTAGTGTCATAATTGGTTTAAGCGATCTGACCCACATGCAGAGAACCACTCAGAGACCAAGGGAAAAAGTTTAACAGGTTTATTGAATGTTGATGAAACACAGAAGTAGGAGCTGGAACTCAGTGGACTGGTGAACGGGAACCGGAAAGTCTGAAGGAGAGGTCACACTGATCAGTTCAGGGACCATAGGAAAATTGACTGAGGCTTGAATATTGCTGGAGAAACTCATGTTTGAGGGGGGTCTTGTTAATCCTTGAATCCAGTTTGTGGGGAATTAATCCAGAGCAGAGGGAACTCGTTGGAGAGCGGACAGGTAGTCATACGTTGGACCCAGAGGAGTAAAGGAGCGGACTGTCACTTGGTTTTCCGATGAGGACTTAAACGGATCATGTGGAGGTTTACCCCTGCTCAGTTTGTACTCAGTAATCCTTCCATGGGGAGAAAGTCCAGGTTATCCAGTTACACAGGAAAGGCTTCCTGCCGAAGAGCTAAGACAAAAACAAGATTAGACTCAGAGAAACAAAGCTTAGGTTAGACTCTGCTAATCTCAGCTTGGCTAGAGTACCCAACACTGGCAAACACTCTGGCGTCAAGGTAGCGACAGCCTGCTGCTCAAATACTCTTCTGGTAATGATCCAACGAGCCACAGGTGTGCAGGGAGGCCCAATGAGCAGCAGGGCACCACCTGGTGGTGGAGAGAGAAGAAAAGAAAAACAACCCACACAAGCTGGATTCCTGACATTTAGATTTATAAATTTTTACATTTATATTTTAAATTTATAAATATCTTGATAGTTCAAAGGGCAACTTACTTTCAAATTAACATTTAATTTGTTAATAGACTGTATACATGCATGTCAATGGTATATTATTTTGACAATTGCCTGCATGACGGTGTGCATGCAGCATGCTAAATTGGTCTCTTATTAGCTTATTCTGGGCTTATTGGTGCATAGCAAAAAAAATCTCGATTAGACCTACCTGATATAACCAAGAACGTTGCTGCAGCACAACGTTTTGCAAGTTAGTTTCTGGCTGTGACACCAAGGTTTAAAAGTAATATAAATACCCAGAGGAGGCTACGGTGAATGATGATAAAGAATGAAGCTGCAATAGTTTTCTTTACAAAAACATAAATGTTCATCATCTTATCGCAAATTACATCAGAATCTAAAAAAATTGCATAAACAACAAGAGAAAAAAAAAAGAGGATCTTTGAAATAGTTAATGCATAATTCTGTTATTTAGTTCCTTTGAGGGTTTAAAAACAATCCAAACATTTCTGATTCCAATATTAAGATTTGTTGTCATTTTAAGTGCAATTTCAAGTATTGTATATATAAAAAAAATGGAAATGGCAAAATAAAAAAAACAAAAACAAATTCCCTAAAATTTGTGAAAAAGTGTTTATGCTCCCTTGAGGCGGTTTTTGGTATTTGCGAAAAAGGCTGAATGCGCAAAACAGGAGAAAGAAAAACTTTTTTTGAACTTTTTTTTAAGTGCAATTTAGTGCAAATCTGCGTGTCAACATCTCCCCCCTGCATGTTGGTGCAAAATAAATGTGAGCTGCCCACAATCCCCAAAAAGTCTCTTAGGCTGGATGTTTTTGTGACCACTAAAGGAGTTTGTTTTTTGTTTTTTCTATGCAAGCTGTCCTGAGGTCGAATCCACAGAGCCAATCGTTGACTCCTACACAAGCACAGACTGAGAAATTATATCCTTCACTGTTTTATTTGAAAAGACAAAAAGCTTTTTTCATCTAAAACCATCTGAAAAATTCCAATCCTCTTGAAAATATCCTTTTGAAAAGAGGATCCCCAATAACCTACAGTTTTATCTGTTGTAAAACAGTTATCTATAAAGATTTAACATAAAAGAGTCATCTTACATGTATGTTTTAAAACATAACATGTTCCAGTTTTAGTGTTTCCACATTCAAGTATCCTGTGACTCCACAAACAAAAAACTGCAGTTTATAAATGTTGTCTCCTCTTTTTAGCAAGTCTCTGTGGTTTGCAATAAAACAGAGAGCCCTCAGATTAAAATCATGTCACATCATAAGAGATGGCAGGTTGCTGGCCTCCTTCAGATTGTAATGCTTGGGTTTTGCTGCCATCTGGACTGAGTGACCTGAACCTAAAAAAGCCTGTGGTTGCTGGATAAATCTGACTTGCTCAGGTTGCCAGTTGCCATAGTTACTCTAAAAGGTTCAATGAAATGTGAGAAATCACTGCCACTTAGTCTGGCAGAGATGATTGGTGTCTGAGTTGGTCTCCTTCAAGCTACAACTTTTGCACACAGTCAAGGGCTGGTTATCCCCCCCGCAGCGGTGTGTCACAGTGAGCTTGTCTCAGATATTATTGGTTTATGCTCAATATTGAAGCGTGGTCTGCGCTATGTTATTCCACGCCACAATGAAAGAGGAACAATAACCAACTAGCTGTGAGTCTAGATACGGCCGAGGCAGAGAGGAAGAGGGGGCAAGTTTGTCCAACAACGGAGGGACATGAGGGCGAAAAAGAGCGGGGATCGAGGTGGAAAAGGGGTCCCAGGTTCTCGTGCACCTCGCTCTTCTAGCTGGTCTATCTAAACGAGTTGTTTCTCACAATGGCGGTCATACAAACAAAACAAGCCATTAAAGGTATCAAACATAAAATCCGCATAGAGAAGAGCAGATGTAGATTTGACCAATCAGAGGCCTCCTGTCTGCGGTCACCTACAGTTTTTGGAGAGGTGCACCAGAGTGTCACATTTGCATTCATTGCGACACAGACACACAAATGACCTGGTTTCTGAGTATAAATCAGCTTTAAGGGTGCCATTCTAAAAAAAAAAAAAAACCATAAACAAATAATGCTCAGGTTGAGCTTATTTTTGAATAAGTTAGAGCAGTAGGCTTTTGCAAAAAGTAAAACACAAAACAAAAACATAACTTAAAGACTAGGGTTTAAAACAAAAATAGTTAGAAATGCAAGTTGAGGCCAAACTTCGAAAACCCAAACTTTAAATGCAACAAGCTGTCTTGTAAAGAAGGGTTAGTAAAGAAGATAAACAGAGGAACAGAGGTCTGCGAAACTGAAAGCTTGAAATATTGTTTTAAAAATTCAGCTGTAACCCTGATCTGCTCTAATGATGCCGTTTATTTTATGTTCTCTGACCAACTCTGAGGCCTCCACAGAAAACCTGCATTTATCCTGGGATTAACATCAAAATACAGTAATCTAATTATTGAAGACCAATTCAAGACCATTGGAATCACTGGATTTTTTAAGGTTTATCAGACTAAAAGGGGATGATCTTAACCTGATAACCAATTTGCCAGGTATATGATGAGCGTGGCTCTCCAACATATCCTACATGGCCACTTGGTCGGGTTTTCTCTGCATCTTTCAGAACCCTCTTCTATAGAGAGTTTATTGTTAGAAACTGTTGCCTCTGCCATCGGAAATGCCCCAGGAGGCATTTGGAGCATACAACACCAGAACAAGCCTGTTGGAAAATCTGCCCATTTTATTGGCCCAGTTCTCAGATTTAGCTTATTAACCATCATGGTTAATTTGTACAAAAACAGGACAAAGTTTTTATTTTTTTGTTTTATTAGATCCTAGAGTTTCCCATTGCAAGTGAGCAGAAAAGCTTCTTCGAGCAAAACAAGAGTTCACCCCAGGCAGAAGAAAGATTTCCATTAGACATGTAAGGGTTCAAGTTAGCTCTTTAGATTACGTTTCAGCACATTTTTGTCTCTCTACATGTTGAATTTGGGTTTCTTCCCATCATTGACAAGCAAGAAAAAAAATAACAGAAACAACTTTATTTCCAATTTAAACTATCTTGGATTTAAATAAGGGATCAGGTAGCTTCCAGTGCAGAGCTTGTTTTGGATGGCAGCAGGTAGGTTTGACTGTTCCTGCCTGAATATTTAAAATACTGGTTGTGAAATTGATAGAGGAAATGATTATATAAACTTGGTTTTGCAAGACTACATTTTAGAAAAAAAAAAAATTATACTCAGTGGGATTTGGAGGAGTTTCTCAAAAGAAAAAAGAAAAAAAATCACGGATCACTGATCTGGCTTCCCAGAGCACATCACCTCCTTCCATGAAGTACACTTTCCTTCTCAGTCCACTGGTTTGGCTCCTCTAACCAGAGAGAAAAAGCAGCTGGATTCAGTGGTGGGCCTTGGAGCGTCTTCATTATATAAACATATCAGGATCTAAAAACACTGATCAAAGGTTAGTGTCAAATGATCCATAGATGAGTCCAAGTTTGACCAGTCCATACACTGGTCCTTTTCATGTTTCATAACATTTTATGAGGTTCTCTATGAAAGAATAAAAAAATATATTGTTTGTCTCACAAATAGATTAAAGGTTGCATTGACTACAGATGGTGAAATTCAGTCCAGACTTGATAAAAAAAATAAAAACAGAATTATATTTTCTTATTTTTGCATCAAAGAGAAGATCAACTGGAGCATCATCACCATCCATTTAATATCTTCTTTCTGGGGTGAAATCATTCTGAGTTGGACAGTTCCTGTAAACTGGATTCTAAAGTAAACCTACGAGATGTGCTGCAGAAGAATAACTTTATTCATAATATATTTCTCATTGCCGTCTCTTGTGGTGGGCTTCCCTGGATAGAGAGCCACACCATCCATATCTATAACTGCCTCTGGCTGCAACCTCTGACTGAAAGTATGTTGTTGTTTTACTTTGGTTATGTTTCAATGTGGAGAAAAAATGTGGGCTGTCAAAAAATGTTAGTGCATTGTAATAATATTCAGTAGTTTTTCTGCAGTGCTTGTTGTTGAACCTTACAAACTG